CCTAACGTTCTGTGATTCTGTGATTTTAAATAAACAACAACAACAACAAAGGGAACTACTGAAAGTATTCAATTCATAACCAGGTACCTTCCTGTTGCTACATCCCAGCAATTAAGACTCAGATGTTTGGGGTGAAAAAAAATTCTTCCAGAAATTTTTAACTGAATATAAATCAGCTAGTCAAGCTGATCAAATTAACATTCATACTGTGAACACTCTAGAAAGGAGAATTTAAAAAATATAGTTTTTACAAGAAGAAAATTAAAATACAAAGAAGCAGTTGTAATTTAAGCCTCATCATTAACTGCAGTAAGCTACTACAGGTTTTACAACTCCTCACTGAGGAATCAACAGGAATCTGCTTGCAAAGTTACCTCTTGCTGAACCTTTAGCTTGTTCCAAGATTGTCAGAATAACAAAATGGTATATTCAATAGATTTCCAGACCAAATTACACTCAAATTAAGCACTTCAAACATTTCAAACACTGGCTAATGTCTAGTAAGTTTTAAACGGATAAAAATCATGAGAAAGCCTTACCTTCTGCAACACCCCATGGGTACTGCCTTCCTCTAACTCTCTTGCCATTGACTTCAATGATCGTATTACTACCTACCACAGCAAGAGGTAAACGGTCCTACAAGATAAAGCATTACTTTAAAAATCAAAATTTCTACTGCCAAAAGATACTGAAATCATCCCCAAACATACGCTTGATGTAAGCTAGTTTGGTGTTATAATACTGCAATGCAGCTTACCCAAAGTGCCAGAACAGTTATGTTTACTGACCTCTGTTCAGCTAAATGACACATACACATACCTCCCTTTGAAATTCCTTACACAGTTGTATTTTGTAAATCTAGTTAAGAAACAGACATTACTGTTACTTAGTAAGCCAAGCAATAGGCAAAACCTTTCCTATTTAATCAATTGCATAGTAATTATTTATCAATGCATATTCCCACTGGCTACAAGGACTGTTACTTTAGACTGGATCTTGTATGCAGTTTTCAAAGATTTGGCAAAGAACTACTTCAAGTTCTTATTTTCAGCTGAACCAAAAATCTCTCCAGTGTAACAAGCAACAAAAGACAAGCTTCCAGTAGCTGAACGGAACAGTGTACACAGCTAAGTATTTTGGACTTTTGTCCTTGCTTTTATTCTGCTCTTCTCCTTTAGGCTTATCTTCCATTTGTGCTACTTGTGTTTATCTATCCTGAGTGACTCCCCCAGTAACAGAAAAAATTTAAAAGCTCTTACAGGCTGTTAAAGCTACTCAACAAACAGAAGTAAGGCTCAAGAAATGTATACAAGATAGACTCCAACATAAAAGAACAAGCCAAAACCACCAGTAAACAAAGAAAAAGCCTTTCAACAGCCTGACAGCACTTTTGATTTTCTTTGGTCATTTGTCTCCATTTAGGTTTCAGTACATCAATTAGTCAGACAGCCATTAACTGTAATGCACACACTCTATGCCACTGCAAACCTCTGTCTGAAACACAAACCTTGCCTCCTTCAAAGCTCAGAAACAAACAAGATGTGGTAGGTGCATAAAAGTCAAATAAGGACAGGATAAAAAGAAAGTGACCTTTTAAGAGTTTATTAAGTGAGCATGTGATCTAGTGTCTCATTCTGATTTTTAGCCATTACAAGACTTAAGTCACCTAAGCGTCATTCATTGCCTCTGCTGAGGAACAATGACTCTTAGAACAGCTTTACATCTTATTTTAATCTTCTAAACATTTTGATGGGATCCTCATTAGTGACAGAAAGCTTTTCACTCTCCACTCTCCTTCCCCCAAGTAAGCAGTTTTTCAAAAGAATTATTTACCTTTATCTTTTTAACAATCTTATTTTCCTCTTCATCATCTGTTTCTGGAAATTCATATATTTTAATTTTGTGTTCTTGGATTTCTTTCATTATCTAAAAGCAAAAATGTGTTATTTCTTTGAGGAATTCATACTTTGCAATAATCTTATTTTTTGCTCCAAACTGATGTACCTTCCTTTTGTTTGGTATGTAAAATCCTTGCATATTAAAGTGACTAAGTTACATCAGAAAACACCATAAGGTGAACCCAAGGGATGACCAGCATGACCATTTTTTCTTAGCCAGGAGAAGACAGGATGAGAGCCAGAGCCCCCACAGCTAACAGAACACTACCCATCAACACAAAGCAGCAAAAATGAATGGCCTTTTTCCACAACTGGGCAAACAGATTCACAGTCATGGGAATTCCACCTGCACATGCAAAAACTAATATAGCTTAAACACAATACAGCTGAAATTATCAGACTAGCCTCACAATTGACTCCCTCAAAAAAAAAATATATTTGACTAGATAACTGTGGGCATACTTCAGCACTTTGACATCCCACTATAGCTACTGCTGTCACTCCTATTATTTTCTGTTTCTAGCTCATCTGAGCATCAGTTGCTTGAAGCAGGATCACCTGCCTATTTTAATAGAGCTTGTGACTGACGGACTGACTCCAGTGGTTGGTTGTGTTGAAAAATACTTGCAAGCACTAATTTAAGAATAACTAAAATTTAAGAATAACTGACAGCATCATCAAAAATGAGACTGTACTGGTTTGGTGCTCAATTTGTCTGAAGGGTGTATTTTAAGAACAAGATGATTCGTTTTCCAGAATCTTAGAATGGAAAAAATATTAAGACCATTTAGCTGACAGCGACACTGTAGAGCCCTGGAGAATATTTCTGGTTCATGGATTTGCAATCTTGTAAGAATGTAAGTTTCTAATTCATGCAAGAACTTATTTTCAAACTTTGATTTGGGAAAGTCTCCCCTATTTAACATCAACTCATTGATAAAGCTGCTTATGTATTAAAAAATATTCTGTGTTCTACCATTTTCCCCCCTTTACATCAAAAAACACTCATGAAATGCAACCAAAACAGACTTAGTGTCTACAGCACCTTGCTTAAGTTTCTCCAAGGCAGAAAATGTCCTTTAATTTTTAGTCTTAAATCAATAGTTTTGCATACAACAGCTCTTACTGCCAACTTATTTTCAGAACCCATGTTCTTCTAAGCTAGGACTGGACATAGTTCAAGAAAACAAACTTAATGCCTTATCTTCTCCTGTTCTGGGTTCTCCTTACCCTCCTCATACAATACAGCAAAGCCCAAGTATTCTACTCTGATCATGTAGTTGAACTACAACATAAACCACTTGGAGACATTAATACTAAATTTATTCTACAAATACAAATAAATTAGACCAGTTGTATTAATCTTACAATTATCTCACCATCTTTAAAAAATATTACCACAGCCCAAGACTGAACAGCAGGTATACTGATTCTCATCTAATACCTGAGGCATCCTTAATAAATTTACCACATCAACACAAAAGTGAATACCACAATACAATCAATAATACCATTATACTGTTAAATACTTTTTTTTTTTTAAAACACACAACTTCCGTTAGTCATCTAAATCTTGAAAGCTCCTTCCCTCCTCACCCTTACTGATTTTTATCTCAGCAGTGAATTACTTTACTTGCCAAGAATCTACACTTGAAAACTCTTCCCCTGAGGACAGAAACAAGATTATTTCACCAAGAAATATAATTAAATCTAGAGATATAAATTACTTAGCTTTGCTGTCTGAATTTGTTGCTTCAGGGTTTAAATTTTGCATTTAAGAAGTTAAATCTCATCATTTCCACAGGGATCAACTTACTAAATTATCCTATGTTGGAAATATTAATCTTTCAGCTCACCTGTTTTTTAAACTGTTGGCATTCCTCAGGTGTAAGTGTGTCTGCTTTGGCAATTAGTGGAATGATATTCACTTTTTCATGCAGGCGCTTCATAAACTCTATATCCAAAGGCTTAAGTCTGAAAGACAGTATTAGAGCTTTGCAATTTATATTAATTAAACAAGAATGTACAAATTAGTCAAGATTTGCCCTGACAACTACTCTTAAGCCTCTGATTTATGAGTGATAGATGCCTGAACAAAATTCAAGAGGCTACCTGCAACTGCTACAGGAAATCCCCTAGAATTGTGTAATACCAGAGGCATAAGTCATACATTAATATTACTAATAGTCATGAGACTTCTGAAATTACATTTACTTAAGCAACTGATAAGAACTCTCCTATGAGGTTGTAAAGCTTGTGCCATTCACTGAAAGGGAGTCCCATTTAAGGTCTGACTGGTAAGGGTTTACAATTGTGAATTGTGCTGTTCACATACCCAGTTTCAGTTTCTGAAAGTCATGCTTATTTGTATGCTTCTTCCCAAGAGAGGACTGTGAGATGTTTTTATACTTTAGATTGCTGAAGGCAGCAACTCTGTGGCCTGTGTACAAATGAAGTAGAAATATCTCATCCCTAAATCACTATGTATAACAAAAAGACCATTATGAAAGTGGAGGACAACGACATAAAAACTAAACCACCCACCAGATGGGTCTATAGAACCACTGATGTGGGTCAAAGTGGTCAATATTTCCTGCTTGCTAAAGTGAAGCCACAGAGGTTTTGATGCATTAATGCTTCAGAATTATAACAAGTTTAGTCAGGCTTAAAGGATTCATTTAAAGGATTTAACAAGATTTTTTTTTTCTCATATAAAAGAAATGAAGATTAGGAACATTAAAACCAGATTCATTTGGTACTCAAATTTAGTTTCTTCTCCAAACCATATATAAAAAGAAAAAGGAAAACATTACAGAAGACATACTTAACTTCACTTTAACATTTTCTACCTGCCACTCAATTTCTCAGCTTCTCAACATGTTTCCATTTTAATAGCTAACATCAGTGTATGTTCAGAGTAAGAGCATTGGTTTGGCTATCCATTCACTTAACTTGCTTTCCCTTTCCTTGGTTCAAAAAGCTACGTAGGGCAGCACCAGGTTGAAGAGCAATTGCAGAACAGTTCAGAAGGACAACAGTGTTCACCTCAAGGTCTTGGGTATACAGTAGAGACTGAAGCAGGAAGCCTGTAAATAACCACCCTAGAATTGCAGAAAAAGGCTGCAACTCATCACACCATTCACTTACCTGGAAGGCTCCTATGGCCCCTTCACTCTCTCCCCTTATCCCCACACAAACCAAACTATCAACTCAGATGTTTGTGGTGACACCAGCTAAAAACGGTGGGATGCATTAAATGGAAGGACCTAACCTGCAATTTCTTTTTCTTTATAAATTGTAACAAGCTGGCTTTTACAAATGTATTAAGTCATAAAGACAAACAGAAGTAAGTTCACTTACAGATGCTTTAATTCAATGTAAGTACAAACTCATGCATCAAGAGCAAAGAGTACACTACTCTATGGGTTATACGTGCTGCTGTCTGCACAGGAAACATGACCAGAGACTGCACCACCACAAAAACCAGGTAGGAAGTGAGCAACGTCCTTTCAGAGAAGACAGTATCTTAAAAGAGGAAATGAATGCTAACAGCAGCACCCATTTTTCTCTGTGCTCCATTCATTTCCTTAATTAGATGACAATTCCAAGCATTTACTCCAATAATTGAAAAACACTAAGCAGATCTAGCTCAACTTCACATTTTTTCCATTCTCCAAGAAGAACATGAAATACCTATACAAGGAACATACTTTTCCAGCTTTTGGCCTCACAAATTTAGTGACCAAAACTTAATCTCTCTGAAGCATTATCTTTATTTTTCTATATAAAGAATTTGTACCTCTTACTGGTTTACAAAGTTTTAATAAATAAAAGGGGAGTGGGAGTGTGGAAGGAAGACAAATGTTTTTTTGAAGAACCTGAAAGTTATGATCAAAAAAGGATAACACAAGGAATGAATAATTTTCCCTTTATTTAAATGACATTTTGATTTTGCAAACTAGTAAAACAGTGTATGTCAAGGACACCAGTGTTTGCACTTTAAACTGACATGCATGTTGAATCAAACTGGCATTACAAACTTGCACATTGAATAGCAACACCAAAAAGATGTTTCATTAAGGCAACTCTACATAAGAAAACTTTTCTCCATCCCCCAATATTTCTTTCCAAATTTGAGAAGTCTCTGTCTAGTTGAAAATGACCAGAACCATTCCAATGCTAACTACAGATGCTGAGTGTAACAGCTGGTACTTTTCACTGCCCGAGGAATATTCCTCAGATTTCTTTCGTTACACCCTTCAACAAGTTTTACTACTTTTGACCCACACAATAAAATAGGCTGCTTACCTTCTCCTCCTTCTGGTTTTGAAATTAAGAGTCTCTGGCAAATTTCATCAGTTATAATACAATGATAAAATGCTAAGCAACCGATTTCGGATACAGTCAATCTGCATTTAACACACCCTGGAAATGCAGTTCTCCCTCTCTACCACTAGATAGAAGTCTGACCAAGTTAAAAACTAAGCAGGGGTGGAAGATTGCATAATAACTGAAAAAAACCAAAATGCCTACATTAGAATTGTCACTTGACAAAGGATTACACCCCAGGTGAATTAAAGCATGCTTATAAGGATGCATGAAACTTTTAATCTTCAATTTCTTATTAAAATCAAAGGGAAGGAGGAAGAGTGGAAATGAAAAAATCCTGTTGCTTTAACTGTGAACCAATTTCTCCTTCTAAACAGCAGCATGTGAACAAAAGACATACAGATCACAAATAGACTGAGCAATTGTGAACACTTTTTTTTAATATATATTTTTAATTGTTCTAATAGTATGTAATTAACATGCAATCATGTTTTCTGGTGTTCTAACTTATTACTTGTCTGGCTTGCTGATGTTTGACAAGCCAAAGTAAGCTCATCTTTGAAATTAAGTACAGTCTGCAGGCCATTAAGAAAATCTTAACTGGAACTTTACATAGCTAAGAATGTCAAATTTGGACGATCATCTGAGATAAAAGACAGAAAGGAAACATAAAATACACTAATACAAACCCATGTCCTGAAGGAGCAATGAAATATAGACAACATTGCACTCTGTTATCTGGCATCTGACGTCTGTTCACTCGAGATTCTGCATTCAGGTAGTCCTCAAATTTACTGTCAATGTAGTCGATAACTGGCTGCCAACTGCAGAGGTTACATGAATAAAAACCTGTAAGTTACATCATTTATGTAAAAAAAGTCTGTCTTTGCTAAGAAAGATGTTTACTATTTCCCCATGGCTTTTTTGTTTGGTTTTTTTTTAAATTTTTAATTCAAGAGACTTCAACATAAAACATTTTAAGTGACCAGCTCCTCAACATACAACCTAGTTACATAGCTCTGAAGATACAATCTTTGAGTTCACTGAAAAACCCTTTCAAACACAATTACCTTCATTGTAATAGCATTAAATAGAACACTTAGGAACAGTAGCCAAAAGAATACGCTTTACTGGTCACATCTTGTGACAGCACAGAAGTTGGTCCTGCACACTGCATGTGTAGATAAAGAGCCATTCGCTTTGAAGGGAAAAAAAGCTGACAGTGTTTCAGACGAGTTATAAAGAGACTTGGAAATGCAGTACTTTAAGTTTTCAGCTAACTGAAAAGTTTAAAAAAGTGTTAATATTTTAGAATAACATAGAAATGTGCATTTAAAAACATCACAAGTTATTATATCTCACACATAAAACTACAATTCAGAATTATTGCAGGAGAACACACAAAGAACGTCTTACCAATTACTATTATCCACAGCATCTCCAAATCCTGGTGTGTCAACTATTGTAAGCAGTAACTGAACACCACCTTCTTTGATTAAAACTTTTGACTGCTCAACCTGTAAAATGAAAAAGATTAAATTTTTAGCAATTTAGTCGGTCATCTTAAACATTGGGAAAATCATTCAGTGAATAAAAAGTCTGGCAAAGAACTGCTAACCTTTTTGCTTCAGAGAGGTACTGAATCCACGTTTTGCTTCTAAAATTACAATAATTTTTAAATAAATTTTTTAAAGGAAAAAAAGGGGCCATAATCTAAAGTCCGTGATAAAAGAACCCATTTAAGTATATTATATACCTTAGTATTTCATCTCCTGTTGAAACAGGAAAAACTCTAACCAATACTAATGCTAGTATAAAACAAAACCAAAAACGAGTGTTCTGAGACATCCAGACATTCTGATAAACTAGGCATTATACTTGATGAAATTGTGAACTTCAGTCACTTCAAAGAAAACTATACTTCTAAAAACTAATCCTCCCCCCAAGTACCTTAATACATTTCTGGTCCTGTTAATGTATTTCGAAAATACATTTATTCTTCAGCTACTATAATGCTTGGGAAGGGATTCATAGAGAAAGTGATGGTTTCCCGTTACAAGCAGATTGCTACTGGAAGGTAACACAACCCAGCTGCAATTTGCTGAGCCAGGGCTCACGTGACTGCGATGGATCGGTCCCCAGTTGCTCAGGTCCCCAGTGGGAGTCTGGCTCAGAAGGAAGCTGCGCCAGCACAGGGCGTGATGCAAGACCTGGGTGTGGGAGTGCGCGCCTCCAGTTGTGACCACCCATCTGCAGCACCGCTCAGTCAGCTCGCAGTGAACACGTCAAACAGAGCGGGCATGTCATGACACAGCTCAGGCTAAAGAGCAAATGGACTGCTACCTCCTCCTTTCTGCAAGTATCTTGGTAATTATTGATAATGCCAATGTCGGGCGTACCTCCCCAAGAAAGTGCTGTACACCACTGTCCTGTCAGACAGACCCACAACAGTAAGAAACTACAAACTCATGTTAGCTTTTTCCCATTGCTCACACATTTAATCATACTTTCCCCCCCCCTCGATATCAAGACAATTTCTATTAAATCATTAATGACACCACTTTTTAGATACAGATTCAAGAAATCAACCATTTATTCAGAGCCACAGACGAGTTGGCAGACATTGATATCAACCTTGCTGCTTATCATTTCTTAAGCCTCCTGAGCCCTAACTGAGGAGAGAAAAGGAAGTTATAGTTAACTAGGTGAACACCTGCAAGAACATTCTGTAATGAACTTTCAGAAAGAGCAGAAACTTGGCTAATAAATACTATCTGGGCCAGCTCAAGATTTGACAGAGATGGTATCAATGCTGCTTAAGCGCCTGCACATCCCCAGTTATGTAGGTAAAGCAGACTCTCTCACAGCCACACCTGAACATTGGTGTAAACACTTTGCAATCACTGCTTGTGTGATGCAATGTAAGTCTACAAGATAAATGAATACTCTGCAGAAAGTCAAACTAAATACCTCTTGCACAAGCAAAACGCTGATTCCAATTCAGACAAGAATGTACAGAAACACAGGAAAACAGTAACTAACTGCAAAGAAAGCTCTGTATTTAACCTCTGGGCATGCAGGATGCTATTTTTATCTACTCCTCAGGAGGGATGCTATCCAAGCCAGAGCAGTGCCCTTCATTGCTAGGTCTCAAAAATTAACTCGGCTACACTACAGCCGTCAACAGCACACAGTCATCATGAGCTGGTTCCTCACTTAACAATATAACAACAACAACAAATACCAGTAAGGCAGCTTTACAAAACAAGAGTCGCCAACACCTAGATGCTAGTCACAGAAAAATCCAGGTTGGGGTGGACTTCAAGATCACCCAATTCAATCTCCTACTTGAGCAGGCCTTACTGCAAGGTTTGGAACATAAAAAAAAAATGAAAACAAAACAAAACAAAAACCCCAACAAACACACACACCAGACGAAGATGCCACCAAGGTACCCTTTCGCTAACTGTACAACTATCCTGTCCTTCTGAAAGTGTCCAGTCCAAAGCCATGAGAACCTAGAAATACATGCAGTGCTTTAAAACCTTATTTGTGGTGAATGTACTTTTTCCTGCACAAGAGTGCTATGGAGAGATTTTATTGCATGCTATTGATGCCAGAACTCAAGAGAGTAATCCCCAGCCACACAGTCAACTCAGCCAAGAGTTTACTACTCAACAAGCTTTAGCACACAGGAGACTGACTTCTGATTCCTTGCATTCTTTCTGCTATCTTGCATATAGCAACCACAGAGCCGTCCTATAACCAAGCCCTCTGCAAGTATAAGAAACCTGCAACACTTTCAAACTAGAGATGATAATGTTAAGAGCTGTGCTCTTGCCAAGCACTACAAGGTATCAGCTTTACTCTCCAGCAAAAAATTCCCAGCAAGAGCCATTAAATTATTAAGCACCAATGGAATGCTTTTACAAAAGCAGCAATTAATAAAACATTATCTTGAACATGTGTTTATAACAAAGGAAAAGGAAGGTCAGGAGATCCTCAGAAATGCCATGCCAAGCATTTTTCCTGATTCTGCATGCTTGTGAAGTCACCCTCTGACAAATGGCCTGCAGTAACTGAATCTCTGCAGACAATGCTAATATCTTACTGGGTGGTGAAGATTTAAATTTATTCTTACTTTTCATAAATTCATGTAGGTATCTTGCTATCAGAGCAGGGTTTTCAGAAACTTACAGAACAAGAAGCATTAGTTGATCAAATTAAATTCCCTGTACTTGTGCTATGGACAATCAGGCCATATCCACCACATATTGTAAGAATTTGAGACTACTGGTAAGAGACAGTAGGTGAAGAACCTGTCACAAAGCCTTTGTGAAGTTGCATTTTTCTAACTAAAATGGATGTGTCCATACATGGTCAAAGGCACAGAAAGCAGCAACATTTGGAAAAGATCCAATCACTGTAAACCAGTGTCATTCACAGTTAAGCATCCAACTGCATCCTATCATCTGATTTACAAGTATTCCCAAGGGATTCATGGAAAACATTAGTTCAAGTCTTGGAATTCCAAAGTTTTTATTAAAAGTCTCCTCCAAACGGCCATTTTCCCATGCACTCCACTCAGCCGGGTCACACGGGTCTCCTTGGCGGTTACCACACAGCATTTGTGACTTGATGCTTGTTACAACTTGCCTACTTTTAATGGATTTAACAAGCCTTTACCACACTTTAAAGACAGTCAAATAATGATCAGAAAAAACATATTTCATACCTATAGTTTCTGAAGAAGTTTCCTTTGAAATAATCTGACATCAAGTCACTATAAACTGTTTTTCTTTGTTTTCCATGAAATTAATACAAAGGACCTTTGTACAAAACACAGTTTGTATTTCTCTATGTGAGACTTTCTCATACAGTCTCTGATCAATAAGTTATTCCTACCATATAAGAGCAGGCAATTGTTACCACCAGGATTTTAGGGTGCTCTGGTCGTCTGTCTCATCTCTACCCTACAAAACTCTTGACACTCTCAACTTAGAAAGTTTTATATTGGCAACAGGTACTAATCCTAAGGATCCAAACAGCAGCTCCCACTGTTAAAACTTTCATTTAATATCTTATTGGAATCATCTCCAGATCATACACATAGTTATTAGCATACACAATTTTCAAGCTTGTAGGGGGAATCAATTTTATCCTCACTTTGAAATACACCTGTTTCAGTTTCCTTTTTAAAATGCTATACTTACTGGTTTTTCATTCATCACAAGTAACTGAAAGCAAAGCAATGTTGTACTATAAGTATACCCAAACAAAAAAATACTTATTAGATAAAGTAAGCAGCAGTTTCTAAGGGAGAAGGTGGTCTTTAAATATATTTTATTTCAATTATGTTATTTGCTAAGTCATTACAGACCCCAATTCACTACTGAAAATAGTGTCAGCTAGCTCTCAGACACCCTCAGGCTGAAGCCCTCCCACACAGTGGAAGTAGGAAAAAAATGCAATGGTTGTTCAAGCCCTTTTCCACCCCCCATTGCTTTAGATGCCTTCAAAAAAAACTTACGTGAAGCTTTCTGAAAGATATGGTTTATTTTCTTTAACCAGTAAATTAATAAAAATCAAACCACCTCTGAAGAACTCAAAGGTCAGGATCATCTAAGCTTGCCATCTAACAAATGAAAGCCATTAACGCAGATTCCAGAAGCTACACACAGACAATATTAGTTTAATTTTTCTTACACTCATCCATCTTTGTCCAGGGTGGGACTCAGTTATCTTTGAAGGATGTCTTGCTCTTTTTTTTTCTGCTAGTTTATGTGCAAATTCTTCCTATGTTTTTTCCCAATTAAAAAAAACCAACCATCTTCCAATGACAGGGAATCAAACCCACCATTAAGGTATTTAAACTATAATTCAATGGACATCAGCTAATTCAAATCAAGTTAACCAATGTGTAATCAACAGTAACATCACTCTTCCTTTAAAAATGAACTCACCTTTACTTAATTTTTCAACATTCACTGATTATTTCATTAATAAGTATAATACACCAGAGCTTAACTATTTACACACCTTTTCCATCCCACTTAACATATATTTGAAATAAGTACATAAATTGAACCCTTCTAATGCAAATAATGGACTAACTCCTGCTAACGTGCTTTTAAATCCATTCTGTCAGCGTCACTATGGTTTTACACTAAACTGATAAAACAGGCATGACCAACGCTTAAAGAAATGTAAATACAATCAAACTCAGCATGTTCAAAAGCTCTCTTCCAAATTAAAAAAAAAGAAATCTACATTCTGCAACAAATGCATTTTGTACTAGGATTCAAGACTTTGATGTTGAGCTAACTGATGAGCAATGTCATTTAACCTTCTCAGTACAAGCATAACTTTTTCCTGGTCCTCTGGTAATTACTCAGTGTTCTGAGACTGGATTAAAAAAACCCTTACCCAAAATCTCAAACAAAAACAAACAAAAAACCACACAAAACAGCAAGGTCAGTGGATCACAGCACTAGAGCACAGTTATTTGATTTTACTGAATAAAGCAAAGCATTCAATTTCACAGCTGCTGTTTAGCACCTTGCATACCCTCCTAACTCAACACAAGGCTTAAGCACTGTATGACACCTCTGCAATTGCACCATCACTTCAGCCACAGCTGAGGTGGTCCGAAACAGTCATGTTTTGCAGCTGCAGGAACTCTGCTGGACTGCAGCAGCAATGGTAAACACCCTCAGTCCTCATCTGTACAAAGTCAGATTATCACAAACTATCTTCACCAAAATCTTAATCTCACTTGATGCTCGTGAGAGACTTGTTTAATAGAGTTCATGCATCCTTATTCAGCTGCTCAGCTGTGAAGTCAGAAAATACCCTACTGAAACAATGATTTCCTAAACTACCCACAACATTACTTAATCATTTCTTAATACTAGGGTTTTTTAAAAATAACCATTCTAGACTACAAAAAGCATGCTCCTTTTCTTGAGAGAATAATTGTTAGTAGGAAATTATCAAATGGATCAAGTTCAGGTTTTCAGCTTTTGCCTAAATATTTCAGTTGTATCACGCACTTGCAGGAGCATCTTTGCTTTGTCTAAGTCTAGCACTTAAAGTCAGCTGTGTTCACCCTAGACCTAGATATGTTTCAGGAACACAACTTAAAACAGGGGAAAAAATGTACCACAAAGGATACAGCTTGCAGAAGAGAATCAGATACTTTTACACATTAGGCCTTTGCACTTAAGTCAAACCCTTTAATACACTGTTTCTAAAAGCCTGCCATATATGGTTCAGTGCACGTCTAGGTATTTCTACAGATATACTCAATATTGCAATTGATAATATTCTATTTCTGAACAGGACTGCACCAGTGTGATGTTTCTAAAGCACATGTAGCACACAAAGTACTTCAGGGCTCCCACACTTTCACAGGCTACAGGCTTCATAACCTGTAAGCTTTGTGTAGTTAAGGTACACTGAGAAAAACAGAGTATTTCTTAGTGGTTCACATCCTGGGTAAGCTTATTTGAAAGACAGGTGCTTATATGTGACAACTGTGTATCCTTACATTACTAAATTGCAAGTTATATTATTCAAGCTGCAGGTTTTTCAGCCAGACATACCTGTACAGTCTTTTTAATTCTGTGTGAAGGACCTGGATACTCTGGGGAGTACAATTCTGTTAAGAATAACGAGTTGATTAATGTTGATTTTCCTAGTCCAGATTCACCTAGAAGAAAACAGAACACTTTCAGTAAAACCAGGAGTATCACAGCGAGTGTGAACATTTAGGACTTACATTTCAAATGCCCTTGAAACATACTACCTGAAAACACTCACTGCATTCTAAGGCTTTAAGAATCTATCACCTTTTTCAATTTCAAGGAAAACCTTGCAAATCCAACCATCACTGTTGGATTCTATCAACATTCATTTCTCTGATCATGTTAAGTACTGAATGCATTTTGCACTTCGTCTCTCTCATTACAAGACAAAAAGATAACATTGCCCCACATTAAAGTTTATAAACAAGCGATCTTCCTGGTATAACTTCCTATCATGACACCAAAGCAGACTAAGCCATCTCCTTTATTTAAAGTATTATTTGAGGGTCTTATTGTCAGAGAGGGAGAAAAAATTTTTTTAAAAATAAAACAATTAGTAATTAAAAAAAAAAAGAGTTTGAGATTGTTTTGGTCTAACTCCTAAAGCCACAAAAGCCAAAATGAAGTTCCAGAAGTATGTGGTCTGCCTGGGAATTTTGTTGTTGTAGTTATTTTGTTGGAAGGAGTATTGCATTTTGTTTGTCTGATTTTTCGTAATTTGTTTGTGAGCAGCAACAATAAGTCAGCTAAAGAATCTGGAGACACTACTGCCAGACAATTCAAGCAAATACAGCTACAATTCCGATAGCAAAAATTACCTTTCATTTCCAGCTCTACAAAGACAGAAGCAAGAATTCCAGATCAACTACTTATTACAGTATGTAAAAAGACACGTCTTTTGCTTATTTTTCTCTTATAAAGAAGCTACTTCAACACCACAATTCACATTGACATGAGTACCAAGGAAAAAAGCATTATGAAAGTGATACTTGCTGTTTAAGTTTTCACATGCAGTGCTGTTAGTACATTGACCTAAATGAAACACTCACACAGAAATTTGCTTTTAGGCTAACTATTTTTGGGTGCAAACTACAACTGATATACTTGCACTAAAGGAGAAGAATGAGCTGTATTGCCCCTATATTTTGAAAAGAAAAAACCTAACTCATTGATCCTCCACATCCCCAAACAAATACTGGTTCATTTAAAAACAAAACCCAAAGCTTCACAACTTGTCTTGAGATGCACATTCTGAGTTAACACAAATAATCGAGAGTGACAAAACAGCAGTTACAAACCTCGGTAGCCAAGACCTTGTCTCCACTGCAATAGCTGGCTGGATTTCATACATGAGCTGGCTTACAAGCATCAGCCATCTCGATTACAATGGTATGGCTCAAAGCCTCTGCAGTACCCAGCCCAGCAAGCTGATTAGCTCTACTGTAAACGCATTAGCGGCTGATGAAACACTGCAGCCAGAGCTCCTGCGGGCTGGCTGCCTTGGTAGTGCCTGTTTTTCAAACCCCAGCCTGCCCGACAGGTAAGCTAACCCATTCTGCAGGCAGCATTTGGCTATGGCCAGAAGACGGGCTGTGGCAGCCAAGGTACAAGGAGATACTCAACTCACAGCCTCAAGATAGCGGTGTTGGGAACACTAACCCCAACACAACAGATACATATGAGCCAGATGAGACATTTCATCACTACCACTGCAGATTTTGCCTTCTTCTGCGGTCAGATCTGTTAGACATTTCAGAACAAGGCGGCAAATACAGTGCCTAAGAGTGCCTGGTTGAAAGGGACGCAGGTCTTCTACTCTGTGCTTGCAAGATATTTACGGCAGGGTCAGCTGCAGCCGAGAGGGTTCCCTACCAAGTCCTTCCAACCTCGTGGCTGCAGCCAGTTTGAAGCTTAACCTTCTCCATCGCGCAACTCCGCTCAAGAGGAATATACTATTCCAGTTAAACTGAAGTAGTTTTTGTCCACTCTGATTTATCACTGCTCTGATTTTGCAGTGTATAAATCATATCCTTGCAGTGAACACCGATTTTTAGTCAACCATAATCTTGCAAAAGGCTCTCTACTGCATTTTTTAAGGAAGATTCGTTACCAGATTTTACTTCAACATACAAAAAGGGTTGTCCCTTCTCCCTTCTATAAGGGTTATTGCTGGTCTTAACATGCTACAGAATTTAAAGCGGAAAACACTCAGAACAACTTCTCCCAAAGTGCTTGTCAAGCAGTCATTGAAATTCAACATACAGAAATAAGGTTTTCAGCTTTCAAAGAATGTGATGGAAAACCAGCAGCTCTCCTTAGATGTTCCTGCAGCTGCAGCACTCCATACCAAGTAGTTCCTGAACTGCTGAAGCATTACACCATGATAGATTTGAGGTTTGTTTCTCTCCTATCCCTTACAGTAACAAGGATGAGAAGGCAGTTTTGAGCTGAAATTAAGTATGCTAAGGGTATTTATGCACCACCTTGTTGCCAAAGGTGCCCAGCCTCCGAGATACCCATACCCATGCTAACTTTAATCAGCCAGTGCAGATTATAACAGCTTAAACTGCTTAACTGCCACGAGTAATTGAGGTATTACATGGAAGTGCTTGCATCAGTACACCAATCCTGCATGCAGTTGTGCTGCAGACCATGTAACAGTCAACATCTATGATGGCAGTAAAAGGCTATAACATCAAATAAAACAATTACACTGAAACTGAAGGTAAAAACTGTAACTGGAACACTCAGCATTGTACTATGAGTCATGCCTCTTCCACTGTAATTGTACAGGAATTTCTCTGCTGACTACAGGGGAAGCAGAACTACAGAAACCAAGTGTATTTGAACAATCCTAGCAGCCTTTTTGGATACATTAACAATTTTTTCATCTTACCTAGAAATATAAGGGGAAGAAACCAGAACAAAACCAAACCCAAACTTGGTTTCTGTCTACTCTGCCAGAGGCTGT